GCATCAAAGCAAAATTCAATTAAGTTGATTGCAAATCGTGTCATGTGTATGGAAAAGAAATTTTAATGAGGCAGATGGAACTAGCACAAAAATATGTTTATTATAATTATTATATTATTATATGTGCTGTATTATATGTCACTATGTGTAATATGCAGTAATAAAGTGGCACAAAAAAATGGAATAAATTTAAAAAAATATTTTATTTTCTGTTTATAGCTTAAAGTAGCTGATATAGAGCATAACTAGAATTCTAAGCCAGCATATTTATTTCTAGATATATATGAGTAATAAACTTATAAATATATAAATGAATAATAATGTAATTCAATTGACTCGCCTTACGTATACGTAATGGGAAATACTTGAGCTAATTGCTGACTAAGTCACTTTGTTTTGCTTAACCTTTTGTTGAGTTAAGACAAAACTGTAGTTTTCTCTGCATTTAGACTTCATTCTGTATGCATCTATTTCTGGATTTCACAAATAACTGCACATATTACTGCTAGGAAAAATACAAAATCAATTGTTCAAATATTTTGCTCTTTCAATGATGGAATTTTCATTTTGCACATTTAATGCCTTTGCGGCTCACTGTAGGTGTTGTTGTTGTCGTGGTTGGTGTTGTTGTCATCTATTGGCCAACTCTTGTTGTCCGGCTAATTGAGTTTGTCAGCACGTCCCTGATGTTGGCCATCACTTGCATTTTTGTATTGCCTTTTGCGCTCTACACACGTCTACTTTATATGCTCTATATAATTATTTTTTGCCGCACTCTCAATATAACTAATATATATGCATACATATGCACGTAGATATATGCATGAGTATATCTGTTACTCACAGTGCAGCTCACTTGAATATGTTAATATGAATAAATTGCTAATTAAATGTATATAAATGCTGTCTTGTTTCTATGCAACTGCCTATACAATAAACATTTGTTGCTAAAAAATTCACTTTTTATCTTTTTTGTTTATTGTTTGTCATTGTTGATGATTTATTTTTGTATTTACGCGTAAATATATTAATTAATTTACAAAACAGACGCTGCACTTGTGACGTTTGATAGCCACAATAACAGAAGATTTAGCTCGTTTAAATTTTTAATCAATCGAAAAGTAGTTTTTTTTTTAATAAATACGTTCAGAAAGGTTTCATGAGAAAAGCTGTAGCAATCGCAATGGAAAATATAGTATCTATATTTTAGCATATTTAGTCTAGCATAATCGCAGATATTTTGACTGTTGTTTTTCTAACATTCTAAAATAATAACCTCTAATTAATTTATTGAATCACAAATTGCCTTCGCAAAGCGTAACAGACTGATACAATACGTGACTGTTAGTTAACAGATTCTTAACAGCGCCCCACAGCTTTAGCGCTTTGTCAATTTCTTTCCTTTATTATGTTACGACTGTTTGTCTATGTTTTCTAGCGCTCACTCACTCAGACTCGCTCGCGTTCTATACTGCCACTCGCTCGCTCTCACCCACTGAGTGTATAACATAAGGCCTCTGTGTACATTTTAATGGCAAATCTGCTGCCATTTGCGGCACATTTCGCGTACAATTTTCATTTTTGTTATGCCCACATATTTATTTTCATGGCTGGTTCGGCATCGGGCAGTGTGTATGGGAATGGGGGAGGAAGAATGGGAGCTGGGGTGGTCGTAGCATAACGTCGCAAAGGGGCGCACTTTACATTTGTTTTGTTTATTTTGGCGTGAGCGTTGCCCAGAACTGCATGAATAGAGAGAACGAGCGTAAGTAGGCGAGAGCAAACTGAAGAACGAGAGAGTGAGAAATGTGAGTGCGAGTGTATGAGTGAGTGAGGTGGTGGTGAGCAGTTGCTGGTGTTGGCATGCCATTTCCCGTTATCAGTGGCAGACTTTCTGCCAACCTGCTGCCAGCTGCCAGCTGCCGCAGCCGCAAACCGTCAGCGACGCGCGTCAACGCAACGGCTCAACAGTGACGTCGACGTTGTCGCTATTGCCGTCGTTCGCTCTCTCTCGCTCTCGCTCTGTCTGTCTGCCTCTTGCGCTGCTGACGTCGCTACGTCGCTGCTAATTTTGGATATCTAAGCGAACAGAAATATTTATAGCTTCGCTTTGGCCGTCGCGCACGGCAGCCACATGCAGATTTTTGCAATTGTTTGCCTTTTTTGGCCGCTGGCGTCGACGTCGGCGCTGTCGCTGGCGTTGGCGTTGGCGTTGGCGTTGACGTTGACGTTGCCTTTGCTGTTGCTGGTGCTGTTCTTGTCATTGTTTTTGTTGTATTTTTAGCCAGTTGATTTATCATTCCAGTTGCATTCACGCTGCATTTGTTAATCAGCCTTCTCTCTCTCTCTCTCACTCTTTCTCGTTGCAGGTGAGTTTCGCTTTAGCGTTAACAACGCTCAATTTGTAAGCTGACAAGTACGTAAGTAGCGTAAACAATAATCAGAGTGAATTTAAGATGTGTGCGTATATCGGAAAATTGGATGTATTTGCAGTAATTGGTAAATAGTTAATTAATGCAGAGAGCAAATAACATGCAAAAGGCTTAGAGGATCATTTAATTGTTATTCATTTAATTATTAATTGGTTACTTCCTAGTATGCTGTCACTTAATCAAATCTTAAAGTGAAAACTAATCGTAAACCTCAAACCCTTGCGAACAAAACTCAATTTAACTACCATATAGTCACGCGCACATACATACGAATGCAGGGTGGGAGTGGGAGCGAGAGACCAACACAGATTTAGAATTGTGTCATCGCGTAAGCAAACAAAGTCAGTTTTCACTTATGTGTGTGTGCGTGCATTAAAAGCCAAGCCGAGTCAGACGAGACGAAGCGAGACGTTCAACGGCGAAATACCAAACGCAGCAGCAAAGCAGGCGACGTCTCTCGCTCCCACCCCAAACTCGACGCCCGCACACTTCACTGCAAGCGCCTGGGCCAGCTGCGCTGTTGCAGCTGCGTCGCTGTCGGTGGCGCTGCTGCTACTGCTGTTGCTACTTCGACTTTATATTCTTTCTTTACATTTTTCTTAGACACCATTTGCATTTATAGTTCTTGCAGTGTTGTTGTTGGTTTTGTTTTTTCAGTTCCCAGATTTGAAGTGTTTACATATTGCGTTTGAATTATCGTTCAGCTGGTTTTTATTTTCCTCTTTGATTTCTGTATTTTGTTGTCGATTGGTTGTTGTTGTTGYTGTGTGTGCTGCCTCTTCACTTTTATATTTAAGCTAATTTTAGTATTTAGCTTTTCATTTGCATTTCAATTAGAAAATATACATAAATGTAGAGAGTGTTGTGGACTGTACTTTTCGTCTATATTGTTATTTGTGCGTACGTGAGATCTTGTTGAAATTCGTTTTTAAAGGCATTCTGGAATCGTATCACAAACAACAGAGACTATTAGCAGCGTTAACTTAAAAGTTGCTCAACAGTTACCAGAGCTGTTATCTTGCCTTAACTTAAGCTGCAATGCTGCGCTGACCTCGCTCGTATTTTAACAGCAATTAGCTTTAAAATGCAGCTGTTAACTAGTGATCGACAGGCGGCTGCTGCTGTTATTAACAGCGAGCCCTAAGCTCAGCTCTCTCTATATATTTCTGAAATTCGCTGCTCTACTGCGCTGACCTCGCTCTTCTCTGCTTTTCGTTCAGTTCAAGTCTAGTTTTATGCGTCGCAATTGAAACCCAAGTTTGCTCAACAACAGCAACAGCAGCGAAATCCCTTGAAGCGTTGCGTTTTTTAGCATTGTTTATTTATTTATTTTATTTTTCGCTTCGGCTTGTTTGATTTGGCTTGCTCACCTTCGGCTCAACGAAAGGCAGCGACAGCAACAGCGACGCGGCAGCGCCTCGTGCTGTTACATTTGAATGAGCACGTCGCTGCTGCTGCGCTGCCTTTGCTCAGGGAAAGATGGCGGGCAACGGTGTTGTTGTCGCTGTCGCTGTCGCCGTCGCCGTCACCGTCGCTGTAGTCATTTATCACCGGCCTCTTTTTGCCCAGTCGTGGCTCGACCGTTCATCTGAACACCCGCCCGCCCGCTCTTGCCGTAAATACGATATTAAATATTTGCCATAGAATCGTCGTCAGCAGCGACGTTTGCATTACCGCCAAATGTTGTCTGTTTATCTCGCCTAGTTATTGTTTTGCAATAGCCAAGGGAAGTGAGAGGGAGACAAGGGGAGGTTGGCGGGCTGACGGGCTGACGGCCAGGCAAGACGGTGGTTGTTGTTAACTTTTTGTGGCATTGCCAGTTGATTGGATTGCCAAGAGATGAACCTGTGTGCGCGTGTGTGTGTATGTGTGTCTCCTTCTGTGTACGGCATGTGATTTATGAGCCCCCAACGTTGATATCGTATATAAATACATACATATATATAGAAGACGATATACAATAGATACATTGTGATTAGCCAGGAGGGTGCTGCCAATAGAAACCAACTTGCAGTTCTTCAGCCTCCATGTGAATTTCGCAGTTCTCACGGATATACATGACTGCGATTAAGGGTAGTTAGCTTCCCCTAATGTTTCCATATGTGTACTTTCCGGGTGGACCGATGATCAATATAGGGTTAAAGCTAAAGAAGATGTGAGTCAAATATAGGCATAGAGGTATTTAACTGAAATACTGAGGATAGATGAAGAGAAAAGGTCAGGAATTTCCACTTGTAAGAGTAGCTTTTCTTATTTTCAAAGCTCATTTTTCTCAAACAGATGGTCAAAAGGCTCTAGAGAGGAATTTCAAATGATTTCACAGGGGTAGGAAAATATTTTGGTAAAAATTAATTTATGAACGGGTCTTTATAACAGTATCTACATATAACTCTTGACTCATATAATACTAATACTGTACGATTATATGGAATTTTGAATTTAGTTAGTTCCCCTACAATCGGGAGGATTTTGGATTATGAAAAGGGAACACCGAAAAAGGGTAAAATTTAGAGATCGTAACAGGCGCTGATATTATGTGTGTGGAGTAGCTCGTTTCGATCCAATTGTTTTTCATAACTTTAGGCAACTGCAGAGCCTTGGGAAGTCATACAAATTTCTAAATATATAAAATCCCTTATCATATTGCGCAAAGTTCTCATCAATCAGAATGCAAACGGCTGCCGAGCAGTTATTCACTTGCGGCTTCGAAGTCTTCGGCGAGGTGCAGGGCGTTCGCATGCGCAAGGCGACCCGCTCTCTGGCCCTGCTGAACGGGGTGCGCGGCTGGGTGATGAACACGGATCGTGGCACTGTGATTGGCGAGCTGGAAGGCACGCTGCCCAAGCTCAACACGGTCAAGTTCTGGCTGCTCTGCTACGGCAGCGAGAAGGCGGTCATTGAGCGAGCGACTTTCACGCCCACCCGGGAGATTCCGGTGCACAGCTTCGACAACTTCACCATACGTTATCATGCGTCGGATCGCAGGCTGTCTGTGATCTAAGCAGAGATCGGCCAGGTGTATTCTGCTGTACGGTTTTTGGCGTTGACGAAATTCAAATTCATTGTTAATCGTTACTTTATTTGTGTCTGTGTATGTGTATTGGGATTACAATTAAAACCTGCTTTAGATCCTGAGTAGCTCGGACAACCCCCACCTCCTGCTCTTAGCGTCATTTATTAAACTGCCAGTTACTAATTAAGTATCTAGCTATGTTTGTGTGTGTATATCAAGCTGGACAGACACCTGCAGCCTCTGGCTGTGCCGCATTTCCAGTTGAGCGCCTGGCAATGAGTTTTTACGAGCCAACATCGAAGCAACGGCCACAGCCACAGCTACAGCCACAGCCACAGTCAACAGAGCCATAGAAATGGCTGCCAGAGTCGCTGCCTCCGCCCACATCTTCGCCACTCAGATTGGCTCATTTCTCTCTCACTCTTTCTGGCACTACGTGACGAAAGCGCTGAGTAACGCAGGTCAGAGCACAGGGTATGGGCAGTGCGTATACAAAAGGTGTTCGTAGAAGAGTATCAAGCATAGCATAGCATATAATATTTATAATCTTGAAATCTATCTACCTAGTAAGTAGTCTAGCTATTTAGAATAGTTTCTATTCTATTCTATGCCCATTACTGCATATTCATTGCTTTTTGTCAAGGTCAAGCAGGTCACTAAGCCAAGAGTCATACCTACATATATCTAGAATATATATTATAGACCGATTTCTTATATGATTTAGTTACATTTCCAAATTGAAATAATTTTACTATAATCTCATTTAAAATATTCGAATAAATTTATTTCTTTTCATTTTAAGCAACTATGTAAGTCAATATAACATTTCAACATTTTCACTTTCAAATACTTCCTATAAAAATGTTCATTAGGGTATCTGTAATTGTATTCGAAATATATATTTAATTATTTATATATCCAATGTTTGCCAGGGCATCTGTAAGTTGTATACTCTCGCTCAGAGTGCATATTTTATGTGTTGCTCATGTTGTTGTTATTGTTTTTAAGTACTCAATGCCCTCCATGGGTCGCTGGGTACAGCGCGCCGTCGACGACGACGTTGGCGCTGACGCTGACGCCCATGCACTGCGCATAATCACAACAAAATCAAATAAATGAACGCCACTGACAACAACAACACCAACAACGGCAGCAGCAATAACAGCAACAACAAGAAGAAGAACAGCTATAGTCGCAAAAGCAGAGCAACGTCGCGACGCTCGCTTCGCGTATTATTTGCGCGCGCGTCTGTGTGTGTGTTGGCAACTGCGTTGCGTGCGTAACAGGCGCAAAGAGACTGAGAGAAGTAACCGCAACAGCAGCAGCGCCAACATTTTACATGCTGTTGCTGTTGCTGTTGCTACTGCTGCTGCTGCTGTTGATGTTGATGTTACAGCTGCTGCAGCAGTCGCAAACCTGCTGCTGTCGCCGCTGTTTGTGCGGTATTTTTATAGGTTAAACTGCAAAGTGCGTGGCAGAGTGGGCCAAGGGGGCAGAAAGAGAGAGAGAGAGCGCGAAAAGTTAGAGAGGGTGGAAGTGAGGCTGAAGCTTGGCTGACTGTGACTTTTACTAGCTTCAGCCGGCCGGTGTCGTTGGCATTTTGCTAGCGAGAGCAGCGTCGGCAAAGAGCGTAACAGAGAGAGAGAGAGAGAGAGAGAGAGAGAGAGCGAACGAACGTGAGAGCGTACATTTTGCACTCAACTAGCTTACACTGCATTAGCTCTCTCGGTCGCGCGCTCTACTCTCTCGCTGTCGCTTTTGGTGCTGCCCGGCTTTGAGTGATTCTTGCCCTGGGCTGCTGTTAACGCTGGCAGGAGCTGCCAGCCAGCTTAATGTAGCATTCCTTTGCGCATTCCGCGCGCGCGTTGCCAGCCACGCGACGCTGCTGGCAGCGCAGTCAGCAGCAGCGTCTTCCGGTGTCACTTCCTTATTTAGTTGTTTACATTGTTGTTGCTGCTGCTTCAGATGTTGTTRTTGTTGTTGCGAGGGTTGTGAAATTTGAGCGCTGTTACCTCCTCTTACTAGTCTCTACGTCCTTGTTACAGTTACTGAAGCAGCGAAGCAGCAGCGTCTGGAGCTGGGGACGTGAGGCAACAGAACATTTCAACTTAATTTAACAGTCATCAAATGGAATTCAATTTGCCTGAAAGGCGCACACAAATATAGAAAGAGAGAGGGTTGGGGGAACAGAGCAGAACAGAAATCGAGAAAAACAAAAACACAAATAACAAAAAGCTTAACCCCACCCACTCTCAGCACCTGGCTGAGTATTGTCATTAGTCGCATTATTATTGGGGGCTATTATGTAGTAATCAAATTTATAGTACACTTTGCAACACTCAAAGTTAAGGGCGGGGAAGGGAAAGGGGTGAACGAAGGGCAAGACAAGGAGGTAGCCGCCAGGCAACGTGGAAAACAAGTCGGAAAACTTTTATGACGCCAAAAATAAAACACAACAGCAGACGAAATTATTACAATAAATGGGCAAAAAGAAAATGGAAATTGAAAATGAGTTGTGTTCCACACACGCACACAAACTCACACATAGATACAGTGTGCACAAATATTTGTGTCATTAAACAAATGACAAACGAATTGGTTTTAACATGAAAGCAGCTGGCAGCGAAGTTGGCAGAGACGCCAGCGCTGACATGCAACAGCGACAACTGATAAGCCAAGCCAAGGCGACGCTCTGTTAAAGCTAACAGACGGACTTAACATAACAGCTTGACAGCTTGCAGCCACCCCCACAGTTACACACACTCGCATACATACACACGCACGTACCTATTTTACAGCGCTGAAAAATTCGCTTGGCTGCCTCTGCTGACGCTGCTGCGCTGCAACAATGCAAACGCAAACTTTCTCGCTGCCAGCGTCGCTGCCAGCGCCAACAGTCTGTCCGCATTCGGTTCGTGCTGCTTCGCTGGCAGCGGCTCGTGCCAGTTATAAACCGACTGCCAAACGACTCACGACAGCAGCAGCAGCAACAGCCGCAGCAAGAGTAGCAGTCGCAGCTAAAGCAACAGCAGTACTAAAAATCAACAACAACATCGACAGTAGCAGCAGCAGCACCAGCAAATCAGAAGCCGAAAAGCAAAAGAAAAGTGACGCTAGACGTGCGTTCAAAAATAATAATAATAATAAAAAACTGAAAAAAAAAAACAACAACAATAAACATTAAGTGTGGCAAACTGTGCAAGCGGCTCAAAAGTGTTTACACAGCAAAAGCAACAATAACAAAACAACAACAGCAACAAGAGGCAAAATATTATCATAGAAAATCGAATGAATTAAAAGTGCAACATCTTAGCACATTTGTTCCACGTGAATGTTATTTAGAAAAATTATATTTATTTAAGAAAATAAATCTATTTGTTTATTCTTTTAACAATTCAATGAATTATTGAGAAGAAAAAAATTGGCAAAGAAAAGCTAAAAAAAAATGCGATCAACTTGAATGTAGCAATAATAAAAAACAAACTAGCAAAAAAAATAAATAAATAAAAAAAATTAATAAAAATATAATTAAATTTAAAATATACAAAAATTAAGTATGTGATCAAAGCATGACAATAAAAACATGATTAAAAAAATGAACAATATTTATTATGAATGATATTTAAAAAAAAATGCATTACTTAAATTTTAAACTTAAAAAAACATTCATAAAAAATTTAAAATTAAAAAAAGACAAAAGTTAAAAAAGAAAATGCATTTATCAAACTTAAATAACAAATTTATTACAAGATAAATTTAAAGTTTTGCCAAGAAAATTTTTTTGGGAAAAATTCATTGAAATTTATACAGAAATTTATTTCTGATATTTAAATATTTCCTTGGGAATTTCCCAGAAGCATTTACACAAAATTGTGCTAAATGTTTTTTTATTTTATTATTGTTTTATTTTTTCGTCGATTTCGAAAGAAATTTCATCTAGCCTCTCTAGAAATGTTTTTCTCATCGTGTTTTTATTTATTTGACATTTGTGTTAGCTCTGAGAAATTATGCATGGCGAATGCAAATTTATTAGCTGCAGACTCATTAGATGGACTCTCCCTCTGACCTCTGTCACCTACGACTGCCCCGTCCACTGCCTCTCAACACAGTGCCCCTTCATCTGACAGACAATTTTTTTCATCTCGAGCGAAATTAAAAAACATAAATCAAAATATGCTAAATAAATCAACGAAAATTGCGCAAAAAGTGCGGACAATCTATCAGGGAATACCCCTACCTTTAGCACCCCTACTTCTGGCATCCACCACCCACTTCCTCGTTTGCCACTTAATCAAGTGAAGTGCAGCCAAAGGAAATACAAAATACAAAAAGAACAAATAAATAAGTCAATTAATTAGACAGATTTTTTGAATATTAAAAAGAGAAGGCAAAAGAAGAGGAAGAAGAAGCAAAGCTATGAAAAATATGATATTCATGAATTTCAAATGGGAAACACGGCCAGAAATTGGCATAAAAAATGATTTGAATTCATGAGGGAAATGCTTTTAGTACACAGCACGAAAAAATCTTGATACAGTATTAATTTCAATAGCAAAGAGTTTAAAGAAATTGAAATTGCGTGGTATCTAGTTGTGTGTGTGCGTGTGACAATAGGAAAAACGACAGCTAAAAGATCAGCTAAAACTAAAACCATAAATGCATTTATTTTGATATTTCTTAATTTTTGATGTCCGGGCATTTAGAATTAGTTGACTTGAGAGAGAGAGAGACAGAATCACACACTGTAAAAAATAAATAATTCTGAAGTAAACAAAATAAAGCTTTTTGGAAAAATTTTGGTATACTAAAAAAATTGTGTGTGTTTTTTTTTTAAATCTATACAAAACTAATTTCCAAAAAAAAAAAAATCATAACAAATTTAATTAAATTCAAAATAAACAGTAGGTACATCTGTCTCTCTCTCTCTCTTTCTATGTTTATTAGCTTATTTTTAATAGTAATACAGATTTGTTAAACCGTGACTATTTAACGTAAAACATATAGAAAGATCAACGAATTTAGAATTTCGCGATTTCTATCAGAACAGCTCAAGTTTTTCTCTCAGTGCGCGCATAGATAAAACAGCACATAGACAAAACAGAGGCACGAATTGTGCATGCAACAACTGCCATAAAAAAACGCTGCCGCAACAAATGCAAATGGCCAGAAGGAAAATGGCCAAAGAAAAATGCGGTCGTTGCCGATCATTCGAATGCACACACACACACACACACATTAAGAGCCATAATAATAATAGTATTATTATTATTATTATTATTATTATTATTATT